CTCGAAAAGTCACGCGAGTTTCATGTCGCAATTGAATTATAATTCAGAATTAATTTCAATATATTCAGTTCGGAAAATTATTCTTTCTCGTTCTTGTGTCGCGCGCGTGGCTGCTTGCAATGTCGCGGCAATATGTTTCGGACGGTCCTGTTGTATCAAGAGAAAGAGAAAGAGAAAGATGAAGCTCTTTTGTAAAGCTTACAAGCTTTCGCGCTGCGCGGTTTGCGGTAGGAATAAATAGCTGGCGATCCGCCTGAATCATATAAGGTGGAATTCAACTTGTTGTTAGCATACCACACGCTGCAACAAAGTGTGACACATATGGCCGATTATGTCGAACCTTATATGACCACCACTGATCAAACAAAAAGTGTGAATCACGTTACGCGCTCCGTACATACAGTACACCGTGGAAGCTTCGTTCTGTATAATTAATTAACGCCGCGGGATATCGAGTTGGTTAATACAAGCTCGTTGGTTCACTCTTTGTGCAAAAAGCGCGTTTTCTCTCGGCTATTCTTTCGCAAAATCGACGCGCACGTTTGCTCACGCGCGTATTACACCGATATTCACAATCTCGCAAGGCGAGAGATATCGCGGGCGAGAGAATCGCGTGCCATCCGCTAGAAAATGCAATTATTTCCAGCCGTTGATCGTGAAGACACGAATCGTCGGTCGGAGAGGAGGAAAGCGCGCTTGCGAAAGATCGTGCGCGACGATTGTCGGCGAAGGAGCGTGTTGTTGTTCGTGAATCCGTCTCTCTCGAGAAGAGATATGTCGCGCGCGAGAGACGATTCTTCCGACTGTCACCTCTAATGTCTACAATAGGACTTTCCATCCCCGGAGATACGATACATTGCGCGCGGTAGTGCCGCAAATTAGAAAGTATAATAGGCGCCGCGATTCTTTCGCGGAAAGGTCTTTGTCCTCGCGTGCGCGAACTTCCTTGATATTAATTGACAATTTATTATGATAATCAATGGTATGTGTTAATTAATGAACGTGCACACACACACACGGTTGTTTGGAAGCGAGACCATAAATTTACATGCCCGCACCGAGGTTGGTCGCGTTTTAACTAATCTAATTTCACGCTCGAGCAAATAATTACGCTCCTTTCTACATTCCGTCGTAATAACAAACCGCGCGGACTATTACACTACGATTTTTCGCATCTAATTTGACGTTATAATAATAATCATCATCATCATCTTCGCGCGGTAAGAGTTGTAAAACGACTTCGGTGTACGATACGCCGCGCGCCGTTGAATTTCCAATGTACGTGATCCGCGATACGTGCGTCCGAGCATTGAATATTCATGATCGGTGTGTGTTTCGCATCTGCTTCGCGCGCAGCAATTCGGATCGTTTCAATGCAATTATTGTAATTTATTACGCTTGATTGCGCTCATTTATATTCAAAACGTACATTTATATTTACGCGAGAAAATTGTCAAACAATTGAAACGCGCGAGCTTGTAAACCGCGTTCCGTGACGTACATACGTGCGCGCGCATACACGCGTGTGTATGTACACACGCGGCTCGACTTGGTTTTAAAAAATACACGAGTGCACTCGGCGAGAGAAACAAACAACTGTGTTCGCATACTTTCACGATGATCTGGGATGATTCGCGCTGGTCTAGATATGCGTGCGCGTCCGCAATGAGGGCACGATAATAAATTAACAAGTCATTGGCAAACTTTCGTGAAAATGCGGGTTGGTTTTTCTTCGCGCGACACGCGGAGATGAGTATCTGCGCTCTGGGTGGACTTTTGAAGTACAGTCGCCCCGGGTACGTGAGATTTAATAATCATCCCTCCGTGTGCGGGCGCGCGCGGAGTGCTTGAGAGGGTCGCGCGCCTATCTGAAGAAGAGATTACCGCCCCTGTGTCGGGTCCCTACTGATTAAACGATTCGAGAATAAGTCGGGAAGAGAGATGCATCCACGACCCCCGGGGGCAATATTTCACATGCTCTACAAACCACTTATAATCATGAGGATAGACCGGGCGCGCGAATCGATCCGTTTCGGACGGAAGATTTAATATCGCGATTGGAGAGCGCGCGGCTTGGTGATGAAAAAGTATTGTGGATACTTTGTGCGTCGAATTGATTTACGATCTTAATCGACGATCGGTTCGCAGAATCCAGTTTGCGCGGACGCGGCAATTACATATTGCGCGGCGGACACATCAAATCGAATATGCTGATTTTATATCGATGACTTCAGCGATTTGCGAGATTGAATCTCGAAACTTGTTTGAGTGAGGAAGCACTCAATCCTGAAATTGTTGTCGAGTTCGGTCATTGCATGTTATTATAATCTTGAAGAGATCAGGGATTTCATCGATATTTTTAACAAATGAAGTTTTCAAGGCGCATTTCTGCATATTATTTTCGAAATAAATTGTATATACAGTTTTCAAAAAGATATGTTTAATCAATTTAATGTACGTTTTGTGTGTGCATGGTGTCATATAAATATTCACGACAAATACGTCACCAGAGAAAACGCGACAAAATAAATGCAAGTAACATCACTCACGATATTTTTCTCACGAATATCATATGCAGTTCATCCTCCTATATTGGCCTTGGCGGGGTCACTGACCTCGGCCGCGCGGCCTTGGCGGGGTCACTGACCTCGGCCGCGCGGCCTTGGCGGGGTCATGACCTCGGCCGCGCGGCCTTGGCGGGGCATTGACCTCGGCCGCGCGGCCTTGGTGGGGGCGGGGTCACTGGCCTCGGCCGCGCGGCCTTGGTGGGGGGGAGGTCACTGACCGCGGTCGCGTGACTGCGGTGAAGTCACTGACCTCGGTCGCGCGACCGCGGCGGTGTTACTGACTTCGGTCACGTGATTACAGTATATATATATATATATACATATGTGCGTATATGTACATATATACATATATACATATATGTGTGTGTATTATATATAGATATAGAATATTACATATAATATATAATATTTTTTTTTTACCCTTTTCCCTGTCACGTGTTGTTTTTCCACTTCTCTCTCTCACTATTTTTTGAGTTTGATTTTTATGCGTTATTTCTGACATTTCTCATATGTGTATTATATATGGTTTATAAGACGTATATACTATCTGTCATCGCGGTGACAGGTTGTGTTCACTGACAAAACGTTAAATAAAAACAACAATAGCGTGCGCGTAGCGCGCGCCTGTGTTGTGCTAGTTATGAAAAAAAAAGAAATGAATATCGATAATTTGAAATACTGGGGGAAAATCACACACACACACATACACACAGAGTCACGTGCAAGTAAGTGAATAAACTCCGTCAGAGTGAACGAAGATTATCCCCGCACAGCGTGCACCGTGCGACGATCGATCGCTCGTGAAAAGACTAAACACACCACTGTTTCACATAATTACATTTTCCAAGGATGCAATTTTATATGCAAATTTATGGAACACGTATAACATAAGATTTATCGCTAACTTAACAACCGAGTCTAGTAAAAAAAATTAACGTCCGGTTGTTACACAAAATGTGAAGATAATGCGTTTAATCGTAAATTTTTATTTATTACTCATCACGAATCAACATTTAACGAGATCAAGAAGCGAAAGTCAATAAACTTCTTCAAATAAAAAAAAGATCCAAACGACTTTATCTACATCTTAAGCATAATGAGTCTTCTGTCTTTTAACTGAAGTGCCCGCGATGTGACCAATACAAAGTGACCAATTGATTGTTTCTAATCGTATCTTTTTATAGAGTGTAACTCGCGGATGCGCAGTCTCCCCCTTTCCGCACTTAGAGTTCAATAAAACGTAATGAAATTTTTTTTTTAATGTATCACGCGGTTTTATTCTTCTCTCCCCTCGGTCATTCATATCCCGACCGAGTGTGCATTTCTCTTCGGTTTAACACACCACCAGCATGGCAACACGTCCGAATAAGCGGTACGATTACGTGCCGCGTATACTTTCTACTTGCGATATTAAAAACACGCGGCGCGCTGCGGGAGAAGCGATATTTTATCAAAGATGTAACATGACGCGCACTCGTCAATCTCATACGCGTTACGTGCGAAATACTTTCTTCCTTGTAACAGAAGTCTTCTTTCTTCGCCGTCTCCGTTCCTTGATTGCGATATTAAGGCGTCATTACACGTGCCTAATAAGCAAATCGTCCGGAGAAAGTTTTTTTTTTTTTTTAATTTTCATGTCGCGGACGACTTGTCGCGAGCGCCGGTTACGTCGTCGATATTATACGCGTAGTCGTGCGTAGAATTCCTGTCCGTTTTCTCTCTTTCCCCTCGATCGCGCTGTTGCATCTCGGCCGATCGTGGGACGAGATACGCACCTTTCGTCACGGGCACTCGATCGAGCAGCTCCAGGATGCGACCGGGCCGTGTCTGAATGGATTTCACGCTCGCGTGAACGCGCGAGTTGCGCCGTATCATCGGGAATACGCGATATCCCGAACGTGCACGCGGTACACGTGGGAGATTTTCCGTGTAAACGCGCGTGTTTCATATATGTATATGTATATATATATATATTTATGTATGTATACCCATCCGCCCGCCTTTCTACGAGCGAGTTGACGGCGGCGGACCCCCCCGGCTTATCGCGACATTATTTACCCCCATATGTCGATTTATGGCCCCTCCATTAGGGGACGGGTCCGTCGGGCACCACGGGGGGTTCCGCCAACTCGGATGCCAGACGGAACCGGGATATCGTCTCATCCCGGTGAGTGTACGTACCTTCTCCTTTATCACGCCCTTCGCGTTATGAGCCGGCGGATGAAATATTCGACTGACTTCCGTTACGACTTCGCATTTGTTGCAGAATTTCGAAATGAAATTCTAGATGAAGTTCCAGATAGAACTTTCCCGTCGCTAATGAGCAAAGCAATAAAACACGCCTATCACCGTTTTTATACATATAAATTTAAACACATCTACATTTGTGTGTGTATGATATTATATCGATTTGTCTTCTTTCTCGTGTTGCAGAGACATCTAGACAAAGGAAGCGACCTTGCCGAGGCGGCGAGCGCGAGCGGACTCCGCGAACTCGCGAGGTCGTTGAAGCACCACCTGCGCGGATTCGGTTCCCGTTTGGAAGACAAACGGGAGTACCTGGAGGACACGTCGAGATGCTGTCTCCTTCAGGATCGCGCCTACGAGTGGGCGCAGGAGGCGCGCCTGGCGGGCGAGCGAAGATCCCAGCAGTTCCTGATGGCGAGGCCTCCTCTACCGCCCGAACACTTCAACGAAATGATGGCTCTGGCCGAAAAACTCGGTAACGAGGTCCTTCTGGAACAATGTCGCATCGCCAGGAACAAATGCGCGGAAGCCCTGGAAATCGCTAGGACCACGTCCGCTCCGGGAAGTCCCGCCAGAAGAAGATCCTTCACCGCTTCCGAGTCGACACCTTGGGACGATACGCTGGCAAAAAGTGAGGCTCTCGTCTTCCTCGATTTTTTTTCCTACAATCGTCGCGAGATGGATATTTATATAAGGTGGGACTTGCGTTTCAGGAACGTCCTGGGACGACAGCGACAGCACCGCGTCTTACGCTTGTCCGATGGAAAGCGTCGGATCGGGCGGTAGCAGCGGTCGACCGGTGCTTGATAACATTGCTGAACTTCGCGAAAGCGCCGAGCAACTCTTGGACTGTTCGCCACCGCGAACACCTCCGCGAAGCCCAGCTCCACGGAGATTGGTGAAACCGCCGGTGAATTCGCACCTTCACAGATCGGCCAGCATCGCACCGGGAATGAAGGCGAAAAAGTACGATTGCCGCGCTACTTTACGTATTTTTAAATAGAAAATATGAAAATTTATTTATTTTCACATCATCGTAGAGCTAACTCGCGATTCTTCACATTCAGAAATACTATTAATAGAATTAATTTTAATATTAGATCTATTTTAAATTAATTAAAAACTCTCAGAAAGTTTCAAGAAAATTCTCAAGATCTCACGTTGAAGTACTTGACGTCTTACGTGTGTTGTCTCGACGTTGTGTCACTACACTAGCGAGCTATTGTCTTCTCGTAATTTCCATTTTTCGCACTGCTTGTTTTGTACGATCGCAACATGATCGTTAACGAAGAATTTCACCTTGCAGAACAATACTGCTCATAATGAGGGAGATGATACAGACTGAACGAGACTACGTCAAGTCCCTCGAGTACATAATAGAGGTAATTGCTATGTGCGCACGTTGTTAAAGTTTATATTCTCGCGTAACTTCATCACACTTGTCGCGCGCGCGCGCGCGCGTTTGAACAAGTAACATGTGTAAATTTTTTTTGCGAAGAACTACATCCCGGAACTCGTACGAGAGGACATCCCGCAGGCTCTCAGAGGACAAAGAAACGTGATCTTCGGAAATGTTGAGAAGATTTACGAGTTTCACAGTCAACACTTTCTACGCGAATTGGAGCAGTGCGAGCAATCGCCCATGCTGGTGGGCCAGTGTTTCCTCAGACATGTAAGTAAAATTGCAATTAATATTATTAATATGATATAGAATATAATTTTTATTAGAAGAAAATATCAAACGCGCGTGAATACATTGATTGAAAAACTTACAGGAGAAAAAGTTTTACCTTTACGCCTTGTATAATAAAAACAAACCAAATTCGGACTCGCTGATGGCGGAATACGGAACGAGCTTCTTCAAACAGAAGCAGATTGAGCTGGGAGATAAAATGGACCTGGCCAGTTATTTACTGAAGCCGGTCCAGCGAATGGGAAAATATGCTTTGCTACTTCAACAGCTAGTCAAAGCCGGCACGGATCTATCGGAACAGTTGTCCGGTAAAGAGGAAAAGGACGAGAAGGACGATGGCATGAAACCAATGGTGGAGGGTGAAGCGGATTTGAGGGCTGCCGAACAGATGGTGCGATTTCAACTTCGACACGGAAACGATCTTTTAGCGATGGATTCGCTTCGTGATTGCGACGTATGTTTCCACCATAAGTCAATTTAATCTAGTAATATTATCTACGTTAATAACCGTGTTGATATTCTTTTTTTTTTACAATCCTTTCTAACGTAACTTTGCAGGTGAATGTAAAAGAACAGGGCAGACTGCTGCGACAGAACGAGTTTTTAGTCTGGCAAGGAAAAGGCAAGAAGTGCTTACGTCAGGTGTTCCTGTTCGAAGATCTTATACTCTTCAGCAAGGCAAGAAGATTCCCCGACAGAAAGGTAGAAGACAAAAAACAATTATTTTAATACTGTTTTTGTACGTGTCTGTGTTTCTTTCATTTTGTCCGTTAAATGTCACATATTTGCAATTTTTCAGAACCTTGACATTTACATCTACAAACATAGTATTAAGACGACGGACATCGGTTTGACCGCTGTTATCGCGGACTCGCCCACAAAGTTCGAGATCTGGTTCCGCAAGAGAAAACCAGGCGACACGTACACGCTGCAGTGCGCGAGCGAGGATATCAAGAAAGCATGGACTGAGGAACTTAGCAATCTCTTGTGGAAGCAGGCGCTTCGAAACAGAGGTACGTTTCGTACATTTTTGTTTATTTGAAAGAACCATTATAGAAGAGCAAATTGCAATTGACGATGTCTTGCGTTTTAGAAGTGCGCCTGGCGGAGATGTCGAGCATGGGCATTGGGAATAAACCGTGTTTAGATATAAGGCCTAGCGCGGATCAGATTAACGATCGCTCTATTAGCGTAGCTCAACTGTCCAAAAGTAAATATACAATTTGCCGAGTTACATTCATACTTATTAATGTCAATTGTAATTGAAATCAAACTGAAAAACTCCGAATTTGTTCTCAGCGCCCAGATTTAGAAACTCCATAGCGGTGTCAATGGCGGAGGATTCGAACCGCTGCAGTCGAAGACCGCACAGCGTAATTTCCGTCAGTTCGTCTTCAAGCAGCGGCGGAAGCAGCGGTCCTCCTACGACGCTTAATCTTGGACTCGACACGAGTCCGCGACCGCATCATCGCAGTACCACACTGAACAGCCAGTGCAGTGTTGGTAAGTATCGCGTGTTTTGATTTTAAAGCAATGCGGTTGTATCGTTTTACGTGGCGCTAAAAAACATCAATTATGTCCCCAGAAAGTGGAATTATTGCTGACATTTCGATCGTATCGGACGACGGGGGTGACGGCACGGAGAGAAGTCATTGGAATTCAAACCTAGAAAGTCCTACATCGCAACTACCTACAAACACTTCCACCCCTCTGCAGTCGCCGACCAGCGCGACAGCGGCAACGGTCACCCCCGCTTCTTCGACGGACACGAATCTCACATCTTACGATCAAGATATGTCCATCAATCTGTGAATCTCTCTCGACACGGGAGACGCAGCAAAAAAGCGATTCTATCATTGATTAAAAACTCGCAAGCTCTGTGTTACGGTTACAGGGATGACACGTGACACATTGTCGTGGCATATTTTAGATAGGTACAATGAGGTAATATCGTCGCACGCGTACTGTAGCATTTAGAAGTATATATTGTATTCTTGAGCAACAATAATATCGTCGACATAACGGAGAAAAAGAAAACTATGAAAATCGCATGCAATCCGGTAGATCACCACGTTACGCTTAACACGTGTGCCCAGCTATATACGAACTTGTATACTCGCATTACACATAGACTCTAGAATTACAGGGAGATGCGCGGCACCGCAATTACGAGGACAATTTACACCTTCAACTGAATCCGTCTATGAATTTTATCTTTTGATACGCTTTGAGGTTTATAGATCGTATATAGCTATATTACCTATGTGGAAGCTATATCACCAATAACCGGTTTCTGAAGTAACAGCAAACGTGTATTTTCTTATATCCCGTTCCATTAATTTTTATCAATGTGCTCAAGACGACGTTTAGATAGGTATGTGTTCTACTAATTGTACGATCGTATGTCGAGGTATGCTACAGTACCACAAACGATATGCACTGATCGCCATCCTCATTTCAACATTGGCATTCCTGATTACAATTACGGCGGAAGAATCTTGTGAAAGCGTCCGGTGACTTATAATGACAATTTTATACTTTTTATTTATATACATTGTGTAGTTAAAATACACAAACAGTAATATTTTAACTCCAACATTGTGTTCGTGCTTATTGTATTAAGAGAAAAGTACGTGATTATATCTTAGACATGCAAATCTTACGGGAAGTCAGAGAAAAGTATATAAATTTTCTTACTAATCGTCTTGTTATCGCGGTTATTTCTTCGACGATACATCTGACTAATTACGATTGTGTAGATTGCATGTTCAGGAATGTCAAATCAATGCGCACACATACATACCAATTTGTAATATAATGTAATATCAAAAAGGTATATATATATATATATATATATACACGCGCGATGTAACCACAAATAATATAAACCGCGATAATCTATATAAATATATATATATAATTATTTCCAGATTATATATATCACAAATATATATATAATATTATATTCTTTTTTATGTCAGTCATTTGTAAAACCTTTTATTACCCGTCGTAGATGTAAAGATTTAATATAACTCTGGGCCTGTACTCGAAAAAGCCAAATTTCTTTTCTACGGAGTACTATTATTATATTATTATGTTTAAGAAATAAAGTTGTTTTGATAACATGTGTGGATAAATGTTTTGGAACAGCTTAAAATCGATTGAAATGGTAAGCTTGCCTTAAGACAATCCACACATTCCATATATTGCAATATTGGTTTTTTTAAATAAATAAATTTACTTGTTTGACCATGCAGAATCGCTTATGACTCGCCTGCGAGATTTTGATAATTAGAAATATATTCGTTGTAGATAGATGCTAGCATATTATTGTCGAAACCGTTTGTATTATTTTTGCAATTAGGCGATTTTAAACGATTTTGGAAGATTTGCAGAGAAAACAATTATTCTTTCTGATTGTTTACGATAGCTAAGTGTTTCAACTCAAATAGACATTAATACAATAGCTTTTTGCTTGTATATGTGATTCTGCATCGTTACGTTGCTTCCAAATAAGTCGATTAATTAGCCATCTTTATTGCCACGGTCTGTCAAGGTATTGTAAGTATATCTTATGGACATTGACCCTACGATTTATTTTACATTTTGTATGAAGAGACAAAAGTCTCAAATATTTAGAGAAGCGTAGATGTAGATTATAAAGTATTTACAAAGAATTTTTGGCACAGTCCGATGCACCCTATTTTATTACGAGTTATGTTCTATCGTTTTAAATTGATGATTTCCAATCAAAAGTAAGTTTTTTAATGTTTATATGATTTTCACACACAGAGTATGCCATACATACGTACATACATACATAGATACATCGGTGCACCTGGCTGAGCATCCCGACTTTCGAAAGTAAAACTAAGCGAAAAAAAGTAAACAATTTCTATTTTCCACAAATCTACAATATGTGTTTGGTGTTGCTTTTGAATATTAGGGATGTCGGAGTAACAATAACATAGTACCTTGTAAGAAAATACAGATAGTCACTTATAATATATATATATATATATATGTATATATATGTGTATATATATTATATATATATATATACATATATATATATATATTACACGATTTTAGATATTTATTCATATTTTTTTAAGTAGAGAACACTTTAGTCCTTAGATTAAGTATATTTCCATATTATGAATGAAATGTATATATTACATTTTAACACGATTATTTTCAGTATTGTACCTTGTCTAACACCGATGTATTTTATTACTTGCTAAATATACTGTATTGGGTGCCTTTTGTAGAGAATTTCAGTCTTTTGACGTCAATATTATTACCCCGCACATCACTATTCTATTTTCCAATATGTAAACACACATATGTTTAGGTCAATGATATATATTTTTTGTAATTACATATATTTTAGACGAAATAATCAAATATATACAAAATTTAAAGAGCATAATGTATATCACAAAATTGACTTATTTTTGTCATAAAGCATATCTGTATACCATAAGAATGCGCATAATATTTATGAAACAAAATTTACTTACTGATATTTACCATTCTTACCTTTATAAGGTTTTCCTTGAGATTGTGATGTAAGTGTAATAATTTGAATGTGATGTAAGCTTAATAATTTGATAAGTTATTATTGCAGAGAATCATAAGTTTTGAAAAGTATTGCGGAGCATTAATACGTAGCTCTTTACTGGTTTGAAGCAGCTTTACAAGGCACGCGAAAGGCATACAAAAGTCATTGTTTTATAAGAGTTATCTCTTCTTATCATGATCGAACGATTCTTTTGTCAAATATAACATTTAAAAAAAAAAAAAAAAAAAAAAAAACCACAAAAACGCGACATGAAACACAAATGATCGCATATTTTGCGGTTTTACGTAAATAACTTCACAAAAATTCACATAAATTAGACCAAATTTTCCGACTAGGCAATGTGTGTTGTAAAGTTATATAAATAGTAAATTCGTAAAAGTGTTAAAAGATCTTCACAAAAACACTATATTAATTTATATACAAATAAAACATCTATTCACAATAAGAAATAAAAAAAGAGAAAATCTTTACATTTTAAAATTTATACAAGATTGCATTTCTTTTTTTGTTTAAAATTTATGTCACATGCTGACGTAGTCATGTTTTGTCACAAATTTTTTTTTTCATCTTTCAAACTATCAGGATAGGAAGCAGATTTTTTAACACTTTTAAGATCAATTGTTGATTTGTTTAAATCTGATTCTACGTTTAGCAATTCTATCTGTTTTTTTTTCAATAACGATCCTCCTGTAAAACCTAGAGAAAACCACCCGTCATTTTATTAATAATTCTATGTAATTAATTTACACACACAATATGTCCCCACAATTATTCCGTTAAATTTTACTAAATAAGACTTACCTAAAATACCACAACTCAGTGCAGCAAGACCACCAATTTTTATTCCAGCTAATAAACCTAGTGGTCCTCCAATACATGTTCCTAATACAGCACCTGCTATAGGATAAGCAGCTGCTTTATATTTTGAGGCTTTCTGCAGGTACTTTTCACCCTGAGTCACATTTATTTGAGTTTCTTCAATATTGTCTTCTATATTTTCTACCATTTCCTTTTGATCCTGTTTGTAAAAAAAGATTTTCTATGATATATACATTCTTATATAACATTAATAGAATATATATATATCTTATTATAAATTTGAAAATACTTAGAAAAATATTTTTTATATATTTTCAAAATATAAAAATAAGATTATACTTACATGCACAACTTTATTAAATTCAATGAAGAGTTCATGTAATTGTTGTATTTCTTCTTGCAAAGAATTCCAAACTTCCAGACATGCTTGCTGACGCAGAAAATCCTCTTTTTCTGCTTGTAGCTGGATATTGTCATCAAGTGGATGTTGCATTTCTTGATGTTGAGATTTGAATGATGGTGGCGATGTTGAACAATTTAACTGCATTTCTTTAAATAATATAATTATATGTTTGTAGATTTGTTCTTGTGTAAAATTTGAATTAAGCAGAAAAAAAGAACATATATATATTCTATTATATATTGTCTGTACCTAAATATTCTTCAATTGCATTCATGATACTCGTACGTGCACTCCGTGTCAGTTTATCAAATTTATCAATGTCGGCATCAAGAACTTGTGCTCTAAGAGTATCCATTTGATACAATAACTCTTTCAATTGCTTGATAATACGAGAAACATTTACATGTTCTTTTCGCACTTGTTCCCAGTCACGCTGATCTTGATACTACAATCATAAGAATTACATATATATTTCAATTCTAAAAATTATAAGAAATAATCGACGGAAAATTCCATGTATATATTTATATATATATATTTACCTTTTTGATATTGTTTTTGTGTCGCTTTAGTAAATTTACATGATGAGGAATAGCAATGTTGAAATTATTAATCTGGATTTCCAAACGTCTGATAGGCTGTTTAAATGTGGGATTTTCTGACATGGTTGACATGATTCTCGACAATGAATTCTTGACAAATCACTTATAATTCCGTATGTGTTCAGTATTTTATGTGTGGAGCACATATAAATTATCGTCACAAAGGTCACTTTTTACATTCGACCGCTGACTATCTTTTTATACGTCGGGTTTTCATGATAGAACAAAATATGATAACAATTAAATGCGACGCACTGATGACGATACAGTCAACACAATATTGCTTTGTTATTTTACTAAATTTAAACGTCTCTCCCCGTCAGTGTGTGTCCAAAATAAACAATCAGCTGTTGTCTGCTCGCGCATAAACACAGATGCACGAAATGACAGAAGGTCACAGACTTGGTCCGTGCAGAAAGTGCAAAGAAAATTGTGCTGTCGTCATCTGTTGTAGTTAAAAGGAAGCTCGATGCTGTTTTGATCTTCCGAGTTTTTGCTTGTGGTTCCGATATTCACTGTAAGCGCTTACTATCTATTCTATACGTGACGTATAGATTTGCAATAGTGGTTTGAATAATGCAGTCTACGTAATTATAGACTGTTGGGAATCTTTTTTCTTATTCTCTCAATGCTTGACGTGTAATGGAGATTACCAGCGTCTTCGTCGCTCGAGTATCAGAAAAGTGAAACAGCTAAGTATACGATGAAAAAGAGACAGTTTTTGCTTCTCGCGTGCGCGTTGTTGAGATGGTGGTTTTTTTTTTTTTGAAGAAATGAAGACGTTCCCAATCTTCTTTGGCAAAAAGGTAAAAATATTTCAGTATATGATACATCTATTGACATGTAAGAAGACTGTCAGTTTTTGAAACAAGAATTTGAGGAGAGCGCCAGCAATTTATACGATTCGCACACCCAAGTATTAAACGCGCGGTTGCTTCACCGCGTAAATTATAATTGTTAATATACTAATTGCTAATACAGTAATTGTAATTGTTAATCCGATAATGTTTCGAAAAGAAATGTTTGCATCTTTCAACGTGCATTTTTCAAATGCGCACAGAAAAAAGTTTACATCTTTTTAAAGTATAATACACACGAGACGGTATCGCGCGCAATGCATAATCTATTTCTAAAACCTCCTCGCGAAGGAGTCGGGAAGAACGGGAAAAGAAGCGGCGCGAAAAATGCACAGATCTCAGGAGAGTAGCCTGTACGTCGATTTACCGCGCATTAGCTTTGACACATGATCCATTTTCGCGAATTGAAGACTCGACGTGAACGGCACTTGGAGAGAGAGAGAGAGAGAGCTCTGCGTTCTTTTATTTCCGCGTCCGCAAGTTATAGACAGCACACGCGCGCGTGGGATATATGTACATACGTACAGGTGATCAATTATGCGCCACTCTTCCTTCTCCGCGTTTTCCCTCCCTTCCCAAAAGCGCCCTTCCATCGCGACTCTAGTGCTCGTATTGTACATATACGTCCGTAAGCGAGGCCGATGAGTTTTACGAGGGTCGCCGAATGTACAATTTGGTATAAAGCCGGTGAGGCTTTTGGTAATGAAAAACCGATTGCGACCAAATAGGCTCCGAGCTGCTGGTGACGTGTAATCGAGTCTTCTCTTCTGTCGCTTCGCCGTGCTTCACTCCCTCCCCCGATTTCATTTTGTCCCATCCACTTCCACCCTTCATTTCCTCCCTCCTCCCCCTCTGCGTTTTCCCCGGTGCGCCGCTTCCTTCCTCTTCTCGTGATTCCTCCGACTTCCATTAGCTTCCATACATCGTCTGTATATACAGAGTCCGTTTTGTCCTGCTTTCTCGCGTGACCTTTTATTTCAAACTGCCGCATTCAAATTACCGCGGGCTATCTGGACATTCGATCCCTTTGACCTTTTGTCGCCAGACATTTAGAGACGCTTTTAACATCGGCCGTGGCGATTTTCGCCGTCGTTCGCTGTTACTTTTACGTCGTAATAAGAATCGAGTTTGCTTTTTTTTGTTTTTTAATCAGTTTCAGTCACCGCGTGAGAAATTTTATTTTAAGACAATCTAGATTTTGCGATAATTACAGACAATTATGTTTTTTTTTAACGTATTATTCCGCTTGTATTAATTATATTGAGTTTAAAAAAAGAATGCGCACCGAGATGTGCAATTAAATTTTAATTTTATAGAAAAAAAGGAATATATATTTTAAGAATACTTGACAGGTTTTTCTCGTCACGCGCATTTTGCATACAAAGTTGTTTACGTACAACACTCGTGGTTTTGACAATAATCATTTGTTTCGCCTTGTTAATTAGAGAATACGAATCCGTAGAGAGAGGGAGAAAGAGAAAAGAGAGACGAATTTCTCTCTGCGAAGGATTTGCTATAAATTCGGAAGCGGCATTATTTCGTAACAAAGTCACGTGTCTGGCCTTTGAATGCAGTTGTTGTAAAGCTAGAAATGGTTACAAACTCCGTTCATCTTGATTCTGCTTTTCTCTATGTGTCGTAAAATGACGCCGAACTAATTCGCTTCGAAGTGAACTTATATCCTTCGCTATTTCTGTGGTTTCGTTTCTAGTTAGGAATCTACACCTGATCTGATTGCAGACTAACGCACTGCATCCTAATGGGCATCGCCTCTTTTTTTCCATTGTGCACACACAAAGGCACGTTGACACACCTTTATCTTTTCTCTTCGATTCCATGTTCGTTCCTCGTCGCTAATTACCGTGTTGCGACTGTTCGACGGCGTTAATCACGACCGCAAATCGCAATTTTATTTGCAAATTTAAACGCATATTGCAATTGTTACTTAAATACAGAATGCACGTAGTCATTAAGTGACTCGCACAAAATCTTATATAGCATATGAATGTATCTGTTAAGAGGAAAACTTGAGCGCTCGAGAGATGTGGAAATATAATAATAATAATAATAATCTAAACTCTGGAAATAAATATTGAAGCGTATGTGTCGAAACACTACTTCGTATTTGCTGGCGACAGCTTTACGAATAATTTAGTACCAGCGGCACAGCTACACGGTGAGGCGTTAATGACGCGACATCCGGCCGGAGAGTAATAGCCCGTCCGAATTAATTCTCTCGACTGTGCTTTTAGTAAAGTGAATTTTATTGCCGTCTTGTTCTCGCGCGCGAATGGCAGTCGCCAAATTGTAGTTGCGTAAACGGCGCAATGTTAAACATTGACCGTTTAACTAATCCTTGCCGCGTATATACGTTTCTGCGCGCGTTAACGTTCTGCGCAACGACGAATTCCCCTGCGCGCGTGTTCAAATATTTCTCAGTACATGTCAGTATAATTTTGCACCGTAACCACGTCGATATTGCGGTCGCCGAATCAAATTCGGCGTCCACTTACATATACACACACGCGCATACAAATGTACATTCCGAGTTAATTAAATCGAATTTTTTTAATACAAAACGGTAATTTACGTTCGAAACAATCGTAGAACACGTTCGATGGTCCGTTATCGCGAATTATCAAATACCTATATCGGAGTTCGCGTGCAATTTTACGGCGCAAGAAACGTCTAGCGTTTCCCAATAACAAATTTACAATTTTTCGTCCCACAAACGGACGATATTGTGGAATATTGTAGCAACGACACGTGTTGTCATTTATGCTATTTTCACGAATTTTACCATTTAAAATCGATTTTGTCATCCGTATATGAGATTTGTGGAATAAAGTGTAGATGATTTCACAGTTTATGAAATTTTTTGATTGCAACGTGCGCGTTATCCCCATCGATTATCGCGAGCATCATCTCTTTTTTTTTCTTTCTTTCTCTCTCTCTCTCTCTCTCTCTCTCTCTCTCTCTCTACGATGTTATTTTTTAATTCTCCAATTAATTTTGTTTATCTCGTCCTATTAGCGTGAACACAATCTCAGCACAATATTTCGCAATGAACAGATTTGTGGCTGTAAATGACATTGGTAGCGGAAATATCTTTCTTCTTTCGTAATCGCCAGCAATAGCAGGTATAAATATTTAACGAACGAGCATCGTGTCGATGACAATCTTTATGGACTATTTTTATAGAAAATCTCCCGCATGATCTTCTCGTAATATATAAACCGAATCCAATTAAAGAGAGATTTAATGTCATATTTTTCAACGTAACATCAATAGTCTATTGAATATCTGTTGTATAACATCGATCTGTTGTATAACATTGACAGATCGAATCGATACTTTATACGAGCGGAATTGAATCATTGTTATGAGTAGAAATGTTGCGCGCGTGTTAAATCTTCTTAATCCCGAGTCTGATAAAATAGTCGTATTGCAGGTATAATTGGCTGCCATACAACTTATTAATAAAATCTCACTATATTGCTATTTATATGTTTTTTAACAGCTAATTGGATAAATAATTCAGGTTTTAAAAAAACCACGTATAAATTCTGACAAATTGTTTCTCATTTATTCTCTTTTAATGATTTGTATCTCGTGAAAAATATGAATTTAAAAATATTTCAGAGAACAAGTATCGGTAAAAAAGACATAAAAGAGTAACGTAAACTGACAAAAAGAGCAAACATTTCTTCTTTAAATACAACAAAACACACGTATTGTACAAAATGTACAATTTGCATTATCGAAACAGTGAACATTTTCACTCATGTCAATTCAAAATTATAGAAATCATCGATACGATTTTTACGCTTTATAGTCAATTAATTAAATTAAATTATTGCTAGGATATTGCACGTATATATTTCCTGATACTGACAGAAAGGAATGCAACTTGTCACATGCAGAATGTAACTTGTCACGTGCAGAACGCGTAATGAATTAGAAATCGAAGTACAAAGTACGCCTAACTTCATTGACATTGTAAAACTATAATAATAATGTAAATTGTAACACAAAATGTACAAATTGTATTCTTGAATTTAAATAATGTAGTATACTTTAAAATTAATATATTTTACATGTATAAAAAAGTGTTTTCTGTTTGAGATAACCACGTCACCTAATTTGCAATATTTCAAACATTTTGTATCGAAAGTTTTCGTATCGGGTCTCTTTCAAAATTTTATGAATTATAGCGAGAAATTGTCTGAAAATATGAGCTCACTTCGCAAAAGTCAGATACACGCAAGTTTCGCATATATCCACCGGCGGCATCTGTCAGGGCGAGATCGCATACGGGATGAAAAGAAATTGCTTTCCGTCGCTATGAGATCAAGTTCTCTCTTATATGCTTTATGCGGTACACGTAAAAAGCAAACAACAAAGTGTGACGACCGACTCATTCTTACCGCGAAATTAAATTTGGTCGATCGTTTGCTTGGAAATCATTTGCGTCTGTGTCACACGTGTGTGTGCCTGTGTCTAATAATTTGTAATTGCATAGAAAACCACAAAACGCTTAGTGTCAC